CGTATATATATCCAGGATGTGGGAGAGAAGCAAATCACGAAGGACAAATAATAAGAATATTATTTAATTTTAATATATGGAAACAGCTGTAGTAAGATAAATGCATATTAAATATTGTTTGCGTAATCATAAATATAATATATAGTAACGAGAGTTTCCTTCATTCAGAGTTAGCTCAAAATTCACAAAAATACGTATGAGTAAGCAATAATAAGATGCAAATATCAGATTAAAAATAAAATAAATGGTTATTATTTGCAAAGGAACTACATATATCTAAATATTAAAATGCAATAGTAGACAATAGAAAAAAACACTCTTATTTACAGCCCAATCGGGTGCTCCTGCTTTAAGGCATCCGGCAGATAGATTTATTATTTGTCTCCCAAACAGAATAGCTGTTAATAACTCTGATTACTGTAACGAAGGGCTTGGGTTTGAATCCCGGAGAAGGCGTGGATGTTTTTCTGTATAGTGTCTATGCGACATGGGGGCCCTCAAAATATAAGGAGAACAGAAAGTCCTCTCGAGAAGTTGATAGCAGAGGAAAAGGAGTGGGAGACTCTCGGACCTCCCTCTGGGGTGCCTTCCTTCAAAATTGGGAGCAAAACTGAGCAAGGTTGCACTGCTACCTGTATGGTGCTCAGGCTCTTGCCAACGATAGGCGCAAACTTGTCTTCTTGCCGCGATGTATTTCTTCAGCTTATTCTGTTATCAGACAAGCGTGATTAGTCACAACAAGAAAAAATAGTTCTCTTATTCCCCTTTAATATAAATTATATGACTGAAGTCATGCTAAAAATAGAAACAAATATCCTGATCAGTTTACAAAGAAACTTTACATGTGCCTTAACAATGAGCATCGTATGGATAACTACATCATCAACTGAGATCATGACCCCGCTAAGTTCTCATTAATATATATCTCAGAAAGGATATATGGTATCTTTTGAATGTTTTTTTTATTATTTAAGAACTTTCATCTTTTTATGAATATTATTAAAGAATTTTGGTAAACAAAATAATTTTAAGCTGAATTTTGTTTTGCCAGTACCCTTCTTAATTTAAATTTTTGAAAGCAAATTTAAGAATTAAAATATCTTTCTTCTCCTACAATTTTAAATGGCATCTCCTGTAATTTTAAATGACATTAACCCAATTTCTTATTGTATTTATTAGTATGTTCTTAATAACTGTGCAATTAATGAATTAGTTTTTGAGAGAAAAAATAAAAAGCATATTTATGGAAAAACTTTTAATATGATTTCGGTTATATTTTCACTTCCAATAATTTTTCTTTCCAGTATTTTCCAAAACCCATCCTTGTTTTCATTTAATATACAATAATAAACTACCAGTAAAACATTAAATAATTTAGTTCATATCTGTGTAAGTTTTAGGGCTTTCACTAAAAGGACTTATCGAAAAATTGGAAACTGAGGAAATGCAGTTTAAAGAATATAAACTCTCTAAATGGTAATTAAAACATTTCAAACTTTTTAAATATTTTTCTTACTGAATTTTAATATATATATATATATATATATATGTCATAATAAGAGCAAAACAAGGAAAAGACGGAGCAGTGTCGATGCGTGCTTAGATCCATATTGAAGAAGAATTTTGATTGCGTAGTATTTAAAGAACTTGGCAGTCGAGGCAGTTTTAAATCCATTTTTATTTCCAATTGATATTTGTGGCCACAATCACTTGGCACTCTAGTCGTGCCTTTCCACAGAAGATTTACATTTTTGATATTGTTGGGATAGAAAGCAAGCCAGCGAAATTACATCTTAGCACAGTAGAGAGCAAAAGCTGAAGTGCGTAGTTATGAAAGATGGAAGCACGCGAAGAGAAAAGTTTTGGTTTACAATTCGGTGATTGGTTGTCAAGAGGCATCTGGTATTAACGGTTACGTAAGATCGCATGATTAATTTGAATGACGCAATGCAGATAAGTTATTACGATTTTAGAATAGAGAGGAAGAATTAATGTTTATAGTTATACTATAATTCTGATTCATACATTTTTATCTATATATATATATATATATTATATATATATATTTAAAATAAACCATTTACTATTTAAATCATGAATATAAACATAAATTACATGCTGTTATTTGAAACATTTTCTGACAACAAATATTGCATCAAGAATCACAAATTGCAAGAAGAATTTTATTTAGTAGTGTTTATATTTTGTAAAACACATTCCAAGTATTTTAAAATATGACTTAATTATAATATATTTTATAAAAAATTATAATCTAATTTACTAATATTAATTTATCGTTTTGTTCATTATTTCAAATGTAAAATTTGGAATTTGGACAGACACAAAACTTTTTTATTAAAACAGTCCTGAAGCGTGCGTGATTTCGTCTTTTCTTTTAGCCCTTTGCCCTAGTATATAAATTGCATTTTTAATTTATTTAGGAGTTTTTTAATGAATTAAGAAGTTTAGTGTTTATTCACGATTTTCAAATATGTTACAGTCAGGAATTTTACTCCACCTCCTTCTCTTCGTGTCAACCACAAATAATTTTCATTTCTGAATAAGTATAAGAAAATAGACTAATTATACCCATAGAAATATTTTCTGAGTGAAAAGAAAAGAAGAAAAAGCCCCGCAAGTTCAAATGTGGGGGGAAAATAAAGAGTTTTCTCTCGTAATTTCGGTTAGTATTAAAAATTACTCTTCATGCATACAAACTCGGTTTTCTGATAGCTGTAGTCACATCTAATTACAATTCTCTTCTACACTGATTTTTAATAAGTAACTGACATAATTAAGCAGTTAGTAAAACAATAATAAATACGGAGGTTTGTGTGGCATTTAAGGGCTGTTGGAATTTTAAAAGCCTTTTTATACCACTTATTACAGTCAGATCGTTTTAAATTTTTTTCTCAGTGTAGTAAAGGGTGCTTTCCAATATGCATTTAAGAGTGCAATCCAAATCAAATCAATCCAATTTGCATTTAGGAATGCAATCCAAATGAAATCAATCCAATTTGCATTTAAGAGTGCAATCCAAATCAAATCAATCCAATTTTTGTTTTTTAAGGCTGTAATCCAAATCAAATCAACCCAATTTGCATTTAAAAATGCAATCCAAATCAAATCAATCCAATCTGCATTTAAGAATTCAATCCAAATCAAATCAACCCACTTTGCATTTAAGAATGCAATCCAAATCAAATCAATCCAATTTGCATTTAAGAATGCAATCCAAATCAAATCAACCCAATTTGCATTTAAGAATGCAATCCAAATCAAATCAATCCAATTTGCATTTAAGAATGCAATCCAAATAAATACGCTTAGAGAAAAGACTATTTTGTTTTTAAATTTACAGTTATTTTATCCTTGACAATTCAAACCTTCTTTCGAGAGTAAGGATTTCTTTGTGATATTTATTACTGATTATTACATCCATTGATATTAACTTTATTGTACTCTTACATTATAATCAATAGTTAGGTAAAATATTTATGTCAATTAAAAGTGTAAAATTTGTAATTATAAATGTCATTATGGATAGTAAAATTATGGATAACATCATTATGGATAGTAAATTATGTCATTTTGGGTACTTAAATCTAGTATTAAAGCTAAAAATATTCAAATATTTTAATAAATAGCTTTGAGTTTATGCACAAAATTTTTCTTATGTTTCAATATGGATCTATTCCATAGATCCATATTGAAACATAAGAAAAATTTTACAGTACTGAAACCTTCCCGCTTAGCTTTTATCCTACTTAAATTATATAATGGGATTATTCTAATTCTATTTAATTCTCTGTTAACTAATTCTATTTAATACTCTGTAAACAAAGATTATGCAGCCTTCTTACAACTTATCACTTTCTTTGACGACTGATACTGCACCCTCATAAGGGGACTCATACACCTTAAAACCCATAAGATATTCGAATAGGTGACTGCTGCAAGAATTGGGATAACTTATTTATTTTAAAAGCAATTACTACCAACTTTTTACAGCTGACTACATAATATAGCTCCTTTCTGAAATAGTAATCAGAAAGCTTGTGTTGCCACAAATATTTTTATAATTTAATCCGCTTTGTGACAACATTTTTCGTCATGTTTCCGACTTGCGCGCACAGTTTAAAACATTCTGTTTCATAATTTAATTCCATACTTAATATATAGCTTTTTTAACATTTGGAAACTACTGTGAACCTAAAATTCTAAAAATTTCATGTTAAATTTTATTTTTTTGTATTTTTTTTTTTTTGAGTTAAGTTTATAAAATGTATTTTACGAACAAAATTTTTAATGTTTTTGTCCATAAAATTTTTCAATATTAAAATATTCATCAGATTGTTCGTTCAGTTAGAAAAGAGTGCCCATATAAAGAATTCCATCCAATTTCAAGTGTGTACCATTAACCATTTTTAAAATATCATGCGCGCAAGGTGGAAACATGTCGAAATATTTTGTCACAAAGAGGATTAAATTACAAAAATATTTGTGGCAACACAAACTTTTTGGTTACTATTTTCCAAAGCAGCCATATTATGTAGTCAGCTGTAAAAAGTTGGAAGTAATTACTATTAAAATAAATAAAATATTCCAATTCTTGCAACATTCACATATTCGAAGATCATGAGGGGCTTAAGGTATATGAGTCCCCTTAAGCATTCTCATTAAAATGATTTCTATTTCAAAGTACTAATGAAATAGAAGGAAGTTCTGAAATTAACAGTTCTGATCGAAAAGAAGAAAATCATAAAACGTAAACCTCATAAAACGTAAACCGCTTAGTATCTTTGATTAAATTTAGTTCGAACAATTAAAATCAAAGCATTTAATACTCTCATCATGGCATTAAGAAGTGGATAAAAATTAACAAAAAAAGATGAAGGAAATTTTCAGGAATAATAAATTAAAACTATGAAATGAAAGAAATGTTTCTTTCTTTTTTATTTCATAAAATTTGTTAACGATAGATTGTTTTCTGTTTTTAGTTGCAAGAATGCAATGCCCAAAGCCAACTAAAATGGGCTTGTTTCAGCTACTTACCGCTTGCTTGTTAGTTGCGTTCTTCACAAGTCCCGGAGAAGCCATGCATGGACCAATGCTCATTATCAAAGGTGGTCACGGACATGGCGGAGGAGGAATGGGAGCAGCTTCTATACTTGCAGCTGGTTTAGTGGTCAAATTGCTGAGCGAAATTCACAAGCATAAACATCACCACCACAGCAGCAGCTACAGCGGCCATGGCCATGGCTATGGCATGGGAGGAGGCTATGGGATGGGAGGTGGCGTTGGAAACGGAATAGGCCACTCTTTTGAAAGCCACGATGCTCACCTTGGCCATTATGGTTATGAACCACAACCACATGCATGGATGCGATAATATTTATTAATTTCTAGTCACCGTTTATGGCTTTTGTATAATATTGTATATTATTTGTACATATCTTCAGTTCATCATCAATAAAATTTCAGTACATATTGTGATGACGAATTCTCATTTTTTTCAAGAAAGAGCGGTCTTTTTGAATTATTTTCACTACTATACATTAAATTATTAACTAAAATACTATATTAAAATATACCAATAGCTGAAAAATTTACTTTGATTTTCTTTGATATGAAATGTTATATAGGGTAATGAAGTACTTGACTCCTAAGCAACTTCTTCCCTACTCCATTTATGTCTTCGCATCTTCCGCTTCTGCAAATAAGTGACGTCAGCCTTGGGAAGAGCCTAACCGTGCTTGTCTGCTGACCTTGGGTTAGACAACGACCTGCTAGTTAAAGGCCCATTATAGTAAACTGCTATAGAATTTTTTAAAACAATTTAGTTACTTTAATCTTTAAGTTATCTTAAGACCATAATAAGTAACTTGTGGAATAATAAATCTAAAATTAAAGTTTTCTCCAATAATTAAATCAGCATGCCTTATTTTAAAATTATTTTTTAGTGTAACACAAAGCATTCTTTTGAAACATTTTAAGGCACTTTTACTCGTATTACTTTAACTTATACAGTATACATAATTATCCGCAGTGCATTTAATTCAAGGGAGCTTGGTTTATCAAGAGACCATCCGGATAATGGATAAGAGAAGAGATAGATAATAGAAACTGCTTCCAAATACAAATAATTATAATGAAAATGTATTTTTCGTACAATAAAGTTCATGATACATCCAAAAATCAAAGTTATATATGAAAGCTTGATGTATGGACACTCGTTAGAGAAACTGCTACAATCATTAAACTGTAGCATTTCAAATAGTAAATCGCAGATAATCTGCAGTTACCACGCGGTAGATATTAAATATCCTTTATTTTTCAGAATATTTTATTTAACTAAATTTAAAGTAAAATGTGGTACTGTGTTTTTTACCTATTCTAGTATCCATAATCTAGATAAAATCTAGATTCAGAGCTCAAAATAATTCAACAGAAGGCAATTCGTTTTTTTACGGAATGGCGGACTTCAAAATGATAGAAATTCAAATTTAGTCGTAAATAAGCCAAAGGCTACACAGAAATAAATAACGCGCAAGTTATTTAAAACCTAATCCGGCGTGACAAGAATTATTGGCAAGAACCATAGACAACCCGCTATCTTAGAATAACAACTAGTTAAGTGGCCTTCAAGCAGGCGAAACACTCTCTGATTAAACAACCTAAAACCTTCCTTTAAATGCTATATCTTTCTACATCATTTGAATACAGCGAACTAAAAATTATCATTCCGGCAGCGGAAAAAATTGACAGTAAAGGTATTTATTGAACATAAAGTGATTAACTGGTTATATAAAAATAAATATATCCGTACACTATTAAAAAAGAAAAAAAAATCTGAAATGTTTCAGATTTTAAATTACGTCCAAAGGGGCGTTTTTTAACATTTTGTGTGTTACCTTTCTTTATTAAATATCATGTTCCTCGCACTTAAACCATAAGATCCAGTGCAACAGCAATATCGCAAAATAGTTTTAAAAACGAGCATATCTTTAGAATTTCCGATACAGAGACTCACGCGCTGGAGATAAAAATGTTTTTTCTGCACAACGTTGCCATTGCTCGCTTTGAAATACTTGAGTTTGTTAATCAAAAATTCGTCAAAGTTTTAAAAAATAGGAAATCGATCATAAAACAAATTTCAAATTTCAAATTTGGTCTTCCACATGCTCATATTCGTTGGAGGATTACGTTATTCAAATTTCGATGACTCTATGTACCGTTATTTTATGACAATGTGAGAAATATACATACATTTACGCAGATTTTCATTATTTAATTTCTTCAAATATAATGCAGGACTGTAACATTTTATGGCAACAGTTTGAAAAGTGAACCGACATTTATGAGTCCGACGCAAAATGCCAAAACGAAACTAATAGTCCTTCGGGATTCAAATCCCTTTGGACTAAAAATAAATACATTTAGAAGACTCTTAAAGGTGAAATTTTCGGAGCTTTTTTTACCCTTAAATTTAGTGTTAAAGCTTAAAAATATTCAAATATTTTAATAAATTTTGAAAATAAATGCAGTTTGGGTAGATGTTTTTCGTAATAAATAAAAATTCGAAAATACATTAAAAAATCAGAAGATAAGGAATTCCAAAATAAATGAAAAACATTTATTTACAGAACAATCAAACTAATTGATTGAATAATATAAAACTAATTGATCAAGCTATTGATTTAGCCACTAAGATAAAACAATTTCAAAATATTCAAAAAAAATTAAACAATAAATTAAAATATAAAATCTTATTTCAAAGCGAAGAGTAATCTTGCATCATCTACGTGGAGAATGGAATGAAAAAGAACAAGCATCTTGAAAGCAGAAAACAGAAATTAGTAAAACAGAAAAAAATAAATAATAAAAAGGTTGAAAACGACATGACAGTTTGAAGGGAATAGGTTGCTGATGCGCCATCTCATCTCAAAACATAAAATAGAGGGAAAAAAAAAAAACTCTTTAAACCTTTATAAGTCAAAATATATATATCAAAACGATCTTTCTGTAAACTGCAGAATATTTTGCAAAAATATAAGCGAAAAAAAAATGTGATTCGCTTATGAATCATTCCAAATGATTTTGGCATATCAGAAAATCAAACCGAAATTGGTATGTAAATGTAAAAATTACCTATGAGTTTTTTACCATTTATCGTTTTCTACTGAAGTTTCCAGAATCCTAATGGAAATTTAAAACTTTTCCATTTTCATTGTAACACTAAATACTATAGAAAACTAACAAAAATACCATAGAAAATTTAACATGAAATTACTGTAGTAATTTAAGATGAACATCATTTATTTAAAAAAGCTTTCTTAAAAAAGTAATGTATAACAGATTTAGCAAACTGCTAAAAATTCAACTAATTTCCGCACGAAATTTAACAAACCAAAAATTCAAGGTTCATTACTTTAAAAAAATTTTGAAAATATGACATAAAGCAAAATTGTCAAATTCAATCTCAGATATTATTCGAATATTATGGTCTACCTCTCCATCTACAAGGAGTTTGAAAAGGAAAACACTTTAATGAGACATTTCTTCAAAATACTCGAAATAATAATACAAAATAACTAATCTAGACGACACATAACTTCCTTGTAGGGCTTATAGAATTATACACATTTTTGCTGCACATTATTTAAACTTATTTACCTCATTGCATCACATCAAAATTTGAAAATTTTGAAATTAAATATCCCAGTCAATTTTTGGCGTACGGGAATCAAACTTCTTTTAATTTTATTTTTTCATAACGAAAATAAAATTTTACGAATATATAAAAACCGAAATATATATTTCCGAAGTATAGAAACCGGAAGACGACATTAAAAGTTAGATTTCGTTATTTGTCCAAAATTATTTTTTTTAAATTTGAAATTGCCAAAACATGAATATATATTCGTCATTGAAAATGCTTCTGCAACTGGAAGCATATGGCTAGGATCAACGACTGCGGAAAAAAAAACGTTCGGCTAAGAACTCTTGAGCTGGGTGAGTGAGTAGGTATACATACATATATACATATATGTTTGGTACTGCCAATTTCAATAAAAAAGGGAGGTGCATAACTAGATGTTATATCAGTTCTATATATAAATTTCAATGTTCTGCGGATAAGCGTTTTTGAATTGTATGAGATACATGCATTTCAAAAACATTACATTTTTCAAAAAAGTATCTCATACAATTCAAAAGGTAAGGTTTTGCCTGGTGCCTTCCTAGTGTAGTTGGCTTTTATCGGGAGACCTGGTGTTCGAATCTCGAAAAGAACATCGCGAACGTCTTCTTTTTACTGACTTTAAAGTTCTAGATTCAATTTCAGCTTCACAGACAATAGAGATCGTTTTCAAATATTGAAGCAGTTATGATTGTTTCATTGTAACATATGAAGAACTGAAAGAAAAATATGATAAAATACAACAAGAGCTAAGCCAGAGTAACCAGATGATTCCTAAGTAATATTTTTGAAAGTTTTCTTTCGTTTATCAAGTAAACTTAAACTTTTTAATTTCTTTGATTCTGGATGTAACTGATTAGTGTCGATTCAATCCCTATTTTGAGCTTAAAGCCCCCGTATTTAAAGCAAACAACGGTTTGTAGTTTTCAGGAATAACCTTTTCAACGTCCTTCATTCTGATCCTGCCAGATCCTGTTCGCCCATTTTATAGGTGAGTTTGCGTTGCTGTAAAAAAATATCATCTGCTTGGAAATTTTTCTTAGCTGCAGCTATAGTTTTGAAAGAATAAATTATTATCTGAGACTTGCCAGGTTTTTTCCCCAGGCAAAATGGTGCTTTTAAAGCAGTGAATAGAAGGTTATGTTTTTGCTCTTTCCAAAGAAAATTATTCGTATCTAGTTATTAAAAACACCTAGAAAGCTATGGTTTTTCCATATCTAAAGCTATGATAGGTAATATAAAATAGTGGTAACTACCGAAAACATCGCAGATGAAAACGTCGCGACGAAAACAACGCAAGACGAAAACATCGTGGAAGGAAGAGAAAACATCGCAGTTCTAAAACATAGTGGTACAAAATATCGCGGTCAAAAATAAAGCAGCTCAAAAACTTCGCAGTTTAAAAATATCGTCTTTGAAGATATCGTGTTAAAACATAAAGCACCTACAAATCGTCGCATGACGATACCACTGCACACATGCCTTTTCCAGGTTTTAAAAGTTGTAAATGCATTTTCGCATAAAGATTTAGAAAAGCAAGAAATGTTAATGACGCTTTAAGAATAAAGGGAAATAAAAAAGATATAGTTTTCGTCAAAACAATATCAAATTAACAAACATGAAAGAAAGTAATTTGATAATTAACTAAGCAATTTTAATAGAGGTAAAGTCAAGCAGTTATTTATCTTCCTTTTTCTAAGCATTTTTAGGCTGTATTTTTCATGAAAAATTATATGTAAAACTTTATAAAAAGATTAATTTATTAATGGCCTTTGTTAATTAAATAT